GAATGCTAAAATAGAAACCTTTGCAAAACCAAATTGAAGCAACAGAGCAAAAATGACTCAGAAGTAAACGTAAGATGAAAAAGACATTAGCATAACTAGTCAAAAAAGTTATTTTTGACTAGTAAAAACTTGAAAAAAGAAACCAGAGGAGTATTTACAGTATTTTGTGAATTAGGATCCCAGCAGCTCATTCCATCTAAACACCTGTGGGTGCAGCACACAGTAGCAGAGGCTCAATATGAGGGTTACAGAAGCAGACCAGGGGGCTGTTCCATAAATGAAGCTTAGAAAAGCGGGGATTAAACTCTAAAACCGGACTTGAATGAGCCTAACAAATAAGTTGGGGCTAAAGTGGTTCCATAAAAGGTAATTGAAGTTCACGCAATCTCACTAATTTGATCCAGGTTTATCTAGTCTAGATAATTGCGTGTGCACGCGTTTCTGAAGCAGCCCTAGAGGTCGATCGTTGATCAAATCGATCCACCATCAAACAGTGTATATTTTGTGCTGTTTTATGCGTTTGTGACATGTTTTTTTCCCCCTCAGTGCAAAAATGACATTTTACAGTTATATTCTCCATCTGTAAATGTTAGAAAGTCGTGCAAATGTATCCATTTTGCTGCTAATCTTCATATTGAACGAGCGCTGCTGCGCGCATGCGCGCCAAATAGGAGCGCAATAATTCTGACTAAAATTAATTAATATGTGATATTTTATAACACTAGAAATATCTTCTAATTATAATAATTTCTCTTTAGGATATTGGATAAGTTGCAGTAAACTTCTAGCTCATTACACTCATATATTTTATAGGTACTTCTAATAAAAAAAGAAATTGAACAGAAGTAGCCTAATTCAGGGAAGATTTTTTTTAAGAAACTAAATATATAAAGATACAAAATATAGCTTTGGGTATAGGACCTATGCTACTTTATAAAGATGATATTTACTTATTTAGAATGCTGAGAATTACAGCTTTTTATGCAATAATTTTTTTGAGAAAGCTAGAATCCCCAGTTTTAAATGAGTGGTAAGATTTAGTTTCTAAAGTACATTATAGAGAGGATAACATTAAATTAAGAACAAATGTATACATTTAAAAAAGATATGTACAACTCTAAAATCAAAGAATATTCCATAAAATAAAGGAATATTGGCCTACATTAACTACATTTTCAGGCAACCTTCCCTTTTATTTCTAGTTATTTGTTATTTTATTTATTTACTTATTTAATATTTAATATTTGATATTTAAATAATATTACTTGAATAACTATTAGGAATTATGTGTCATTCATTATAAGAGTTTGATATATGTGAATGTTATATTTTTATTAATATTTATTTATTGTTTTATTTATATATATATATCTGTTGGTATTATCACAAAAGAAAAAAAAGTAGAAGGAAAAATAAGGAATATTTATTGGGGGAAAATATGATGTCTTTAAAGGAACTATCCATTTGTATAATTGTGTTAAATGTGTTTGAATTGAAAGACATAATAAAGTACATATATATATATATATATATATATATAAATATAAGAGACAGTGTAGAGAAAGAATTCTCTGATAACCGAGGCACTCCTTAATTAAAATGTCTTTATTACAAAAATGGCATGTCCTAAACAGACAACTTTAAAACGCCTTATATATGTGTCTATATTGTCTATATTGTAGCCTTATTTAAGTTGATTTTCTGTATACTGTGTATTTATAAAGTCCAATAATGGTATTAGAGACTGTCAGTGGTAATATCATTGTGTTCTTGTCGGTCAGTGTTGAGGATCTGTGTAACAACTGAGGCTTAGCCTGACAGTAAGCCTGCCCTGGACCAGGCTAGTTTCCCAGCATAAGTTGCCAGGGTAACTGAGTTTGAACTTTTTTAAGTTTGATTTATGAACCCGAATCTACCAAAAATAAGCCTGACTAACCGAAATAAGCCTGGCTTATACTCTAATCTTGGTTTATGGAACAGCCCCCTGATCTAAACCTGTTTAAACACACTCACATGCCTTCACTTCATCAGCCAATTACAGAGCAGACCTCCTACACCAATCACATGACTCCTAGGAATTCAACAAGCTACTGGATGAACTCAAAAACCCAATGTTATGAAAGTGCAGAAATATGCTTTGTCATAATATTAGAGCAGTACATATTTAAGAAAATCATGTGCACAACATATTCAAAAACGCTACAGTCCGGTTCTGTAATATACATTGCATTCACACACATGGACAACCACAAACACACCCTCTATTTTGTCTGAAAAAGCCCACTATAAACTGAAGACAAATCACAACTGGAAAGTGGAGAAACTGAAAAATGCTTTTACAATATTACAGGACTTTAAGAGCACATCTTTCTTCAAACATAAATTAACCAAAGGCCATTAGGCAATTGTAATCTGACATTGTATGCATTAGATACTGCATCATGACAGGCATTTAACTCTGTGTGTGTGTGTGTGTGTGTGTGTGTGTGTGTGTAAACAGGCGGCAAGCTGGTCTTGTGATTCCATGGCAAGCGTTTTTCTGTTGTTCAGACTATGTGCCCTCAGGTCCAAAGCCAATCATATAGTCCTTCACAAATAGATTATAATGTTACATACAAAACTAAATCAAAAATATTAAAGGAGTAAAAGAGAGGAATCATGATCAATGAATTCTCAGCAGGGGAGTCACTAAAATTCAGCTGGCGCAGGACAAAATTGTTGGCAAAGAAAAAATATAATAAATTAAACTAATTAATTAAGTTACTCCATATAAATTTTATGCTTAATTTTTTTTTTAAGTATTGTATTTATTATCAGCATCTGTATTTTATCCAATAATAAAAACAGATAATATCATGGCTTAAAGAAAAATTAAAAATGGACAATTCTTGTTTTATATTGAATATTGCAGCATTTATTATAAAAGACTTATCCGTGAATTTTTTTTTTTTTTTTAAATTCATGTGCCCTCGTAATCTTTAATCCAAAAAACGTTCTCTTGTTGCTCTACATATCTTCTCTTTTCTGATGACACATTCACTGGTGCGAGGGCAGGACAACCTGTCACTCACATCAGATTACAGCAATAGCAAACCACAACCATCCAATCAATTCCCAATGGACAAAAATCAGGTCACGCCCAACATTTTTTCTTGTTCGAGAAGCCGATTCACTCGGATATAAGTAACCGTAATTAAGAAAAGACAACTTCTGTTTAATGCCACATTTAATTCCATGACTTTAAAAATATTTCTGCTTACATTAAACATAATATTAAACAGTTATCCATGTTCTCAATAATAAGTTATGCATCAGACGTGTTTAAAGTTTAAACAGACATTACAATACAGATTTAAAATATCAGCCATCATATTGTCGATAAGTCACAGCATAAATAATCACTGGCTTATAGGGATGTAACGATTCACTCGCAACCGGTTGAAAATCGATAAAAATGTGTGACGATTCAAGTCGGTTGAAATGTTAAACGAATCGCGATACACGTTTTAAACCGCAGGGCGCGTTTACTATAGCCTACTGTGAAGTTGTGAACCTCGCTTTACAATAGCACAATAGCAGCGAGCACACACTGGCGTGAAGCTAGCGAGTGTTTTCACTTCATTCATGGAACTTGATCTTGTGTGAGCCAAGCTCAACTTCCATAGGAATGAACTGAAAACGCTCGGTTTGCTCCGCTCGCGCCGCACCAGTGTGTGCCATAGACTGGTGTGCACGTGCCGTCAAACAGTAGACATGGCTTTGGCGACGGCAAGCGTAGATGTTGACGTTGACTCATTCAAATCGGAGGTGTGGCGGCATTTTGACTTTCCGTAGACTAATAATAATCACCACCGTGAGTAACACCAGTCACCTCCGTTTTCATGTAAAAGTCATTAATACTACAATTGCGAGAGCCACGGAGATCACAAGGTGCATCAGTGTTTCCGTGGCAACCAGGTGTTGTATTTATTTTACTATCTCTTTCTCTAAATGTGTTTTTTTTTTACTCTTACTAGTGTAATGATACAAATTATAACAAAATTAGAATCTTGCCTTTATTACAATGTAAAACCCCTGTCAATCTGGTACTACTAATTTTACACAGTCTTTTACGTAGTGTGCGAAGGTACCAGTGTCCAGCCTCTTGACCAAACAGACAGAAAGACTGAGTTGAAACAACCTTGAAGGGAATTTTTTTAATGTAGTTTTATTATTTGACAAATATATTCTAAATTAAAAAGAAATGTGCAGCATTTTGTCTGAGAAATAATAAAAGGGACACTTTTGTCTTAAATCTCATTTGTTAAAAAAATCGTGAGAAAATCGTATCGTGAAACCAGTATCGTGAATCGTATCGCATCGTGAGATGAGTGAATCGTTACATCCCTACTGGCTTAAGGCAAAACTGTACCTACTGTATTTAGTGACCATAGGACCAAACATAAAAATGTAAGAATCAACCATTTAAAAAAACCCACATAAGTTATTCTGAAATGTAAGGGAATGTAAGGGTCAGACATGAGAACTAAGATTTCATGAAGCATCCCTAAGCAGAACTAAAAAGAGGAAGGATCCCATCAGTTCCTAAACAAAACACATCATCTTCCCCAATGTCAGGATAAAAGAATGGAGAGAAAAATTAAAGGATATGTATATTACATCAGACAGACATTGAACTTGTGGACTAATGTGGAAAATGTAATTCAATTTGAAACTTACACAGGCACCCCTACAACCTAAATATCAAAGACAAATTTCAAAGTGGTCGTTATAATCACTCATATGCATGTCCCCGACGCTTTACGACAGAAAACATGTTAAAGTTGGATTTATTGATGGAGCTCTTGAGTCTAAAGGCCTAACGGGGCTGGCAGCTCCACACTTCCGATATGAATCATTGCATAACTTTTCAGACTTTTGTTGTCCCAGCATTTAGTTTTGACAAGCACTCCGACAATCGTAAACGAGAGTTTCAATGCAGTAAAGGGAATTAAGCTCACCTATTTACCTGCAACGCTTCACGCGGGTCTGCCCATTCTGCCCAGTGCAGTCTGCATGTAAACACTCTAGCGCGAGTCTAGGCGGATGTGCCGCAGAACAGCTGATCAAGCACGTGACTCCAGACGGGAAGCCTCAAGCCTGTGAGCGACTTCAGATATCACAGGTTAGAAATGTGCGCGATAATTTATCGTTATTTTTTGTGGAAAGTCAGAAATAACTCGTCTAATACAAGAGCTTTAAGTGCATTATGGAGAGATTTTTCTTTATATCACCAAAAAGCCACCAATAAACACGTGACTTTCGAGGTACGTCCCATTTTACCACGTGACTTTCGAGCACGTCCCATTTTACCTGCCATTAGTTTTTGAAATTAATTTGATTAATCTTTGCTAAAAATGTTCGTAACACAAATTAACCATCTCATTTGATTTTCACCCCTAAACGCACCTGTCCTCCTCACTCGCCAGACCATAATTCAATTCTTAATATAACTTAAGGACAAAATAAGATATATATATACAGCTTATATATATATATGATTTATATGTTACTCATATGTACTGGCAGAAGGAAGAGTTTTTTTAAATATTCTTTTTAGAATATTCCTCTAATTTTTAAACATAAGGTTTCAGTCTACTCTTTGTCAACACTGTCAGATATTTATGAAAACATTTATGAAATTGGACAAAATCAAAGTTAGTGGGATTTTTAGATATTTTCCTTTATTTAAGTGGATCATGTTAGTATCTAGCAAAATAAAGTGTCTCTTGCATTTAATACAAGTGTGAAATGAAAAATAAAAAAGGTTATTTTGCCAATACTCTTAATACTTTTTTGATTGTGGTGACAGTTCAATCGATGGAGTTTAAATTCAGTATATCCTGTATTCTCAATGAATTCCTGGTGAATGCTAGATTTGTCAGTATTAATATTAAATATTTGACACATTTCTTTTGTAGCAGATAGTGTTGACCCCATATAGAGTGATATGTGTGAGGAATGTGAGAAAATGGAAGCAGCAGGTGGTGAAAGTGTCTGAATAATTAAAAAGAAAAACTCAATTTAAGATGGTAAGAAAATGCTGAAGGCAATAGCATTGTCAGTTCTGATGCTAATTAGTGTAAAAAGGAAGTTATAATCGAGAACACCATCACAGTAAACATCCATATAAAGCCCATTTTCATTCTGGTTCTTGAATAAAATGGCTTTAAACATGAACAATAACACTACAGATTTATTGTAATTCATTAGAGAGAGAATTATTCACTGTAATTCAAAGTGCTGTTTCTATTGTGTTTTGTTCTATTGACAATAATACAGTAATGTGCTGTTTGCTTCTAAACATATAATACATCATGGTTTCAGGGCCTCTGGCAACTATCTTGTAAAAGACAACACTGCCTGGCTAAATATGCCACCATTAACACTGATTGACGTTGCCTGCCTGCAAAGATACAGTTGAGGATTTGAGCAAACGAGACAGCCAATAAATAATGATACTATAAAATTGCAAATCTTATTCATTTAGGGGTGTAAATATTTTTCTAACAACAATTCAATTGCAATTCTTTCCTTAATTAAGTGATACATTATGAAAATGGTGTCTCAATTTGGTTTGAATATTATTATCACTCAACATCGCATCAGAGTTTTTACACCCCTAATATTAATAGAACATTTATTTAGAAATAAGAACAGTGATATTTAATTTATTCTGTCCTTGGCACATCCATTGTGAAATCCTCAAAATTCCAACTCTATAGTCCATCCAAAGATTGAGGTTTTAGCAAAACACCTTGTGCATAAAGGCACAACTGTAAATAGGCTACATTTAAATTTTTATATTACCCGGTATTCATTGCTGTTTATTTGTTTAAATGGGATTTAATACACCACCGTTCAATGGTTTGGGGTCAGTAAGGTCTTTTGTGAAATATTATTACAATTTAAAATAAGTGTTTTATTTAAATATATTTTAAAATGTAATATATTCCTTTAATGCAAAGCTGAATTTTCAGCATCATTACTCCAGTTTTCAGTGCCATATGATCCTTCAGAAATCATTATAACATGCTCATTTGGTGCTCAAGAAAAATTGTCTTATTATCAATGCTGAAAACAGTTGAGTTCAAAAGAGTAGCTTTTTTTTTTTCAAATGGAAACATTTTGTCACATTATAAATTTCTTTTGAGCTATTTAAAGTGTCCTTGCTGAATAAAAGTATTAATTTTATTCAAACAAAATGACCCCAAACTTTTGAACTGTAGTGTATGTATTTTTAGGAGTTTATGAATTGGCAGTAGGCGGGGCTATCATCATGCTCCTCCTTACATGGAAGCTCCTCCTCTTCTTTAATAGTAATGATAAAACGAGTTTGTGTAGCTGCATTCTGTTCCACCGCATCAATGTCTTGTTTCCCTGTCATCATGTTTGCAGTTGTCTTCTCATCTTTTTCCATTGCTTCCCTGCATTCATCCTCTGCCTCCATGTAATCATCTTCACTTTCCCCAATCACTCTTTCTCTGCTGTTGTCCTGTTCTTCCTGTCTGAGCCAGTTGTGACCATTGAAAAAGCTGAGAACAGCCTCTTTGGCTACACCCAGTTGAGCAGATAGTGTATGAATGGCCTCTTGATCTGGATGTAGTCCCACTTCCTGAATGAAACTCTGCAAGATTGCATGGGCTTCTGGTGGTAAAGACCTGCCGCCAAGATTTGGGCCCATGTGAGAGTCTCTAGGACCTCCAGTGATAAGATGGTGCTGGAGGAAGGGTTGATGGTGCTGAGGTGGAATTGTATGTAGTTGTTGGTGCTGCTTTAGAGTCACCACATGCTGTGGTATCACCTTTATAAAATAAATATAGATAAGGTAAATTATTATGAGAGTGAACACTTCACAAACCAACAATTTTTTACAAAATATGGCTAATTTAAAATGGCTTATATAGATTAAATTAAACTATAAATGTACAGTCAGCAGTTGGATATTCATAATGTACTGTAATTGTTTGTGTGTGAGCTCTTACTTGCAGTTGTTCAGTCAGTGGTCTTGTGTGTTTTTCTGAGTAGAATGTCTGCCCAGTATTGCTCTCTTGGTCATATATAACATCTCGCTCTGATTGGTTGAGGTTTAGAAACTGGCGTATCAAAGACAGATTTTCCCACAGTGTACGATTCTGAGGAGAAGGCTCCTCCTTCCAGCGCAGGAGCTCACACAGCCAACCCTAACACAGAAACAAAAAACAGTGGGGTTCAAACATCTCAGACAATGTTGAAAATCTGATTCAAAGTCTAATTTAATCCTGGTGATTAATGTAATGTTTTAGGATTTTTAGCGATTTAACATGAGGAAATATTTCGATGTAAAATGTGCTTTCTGTGGCATAAATATTTAAATGTATAATAAATATTTATATGTAGGAGATAAATATTTAATTTTCAAGAAATATTTTAAGTTCTGCAGTATTTCTAGGTCAGTAGACAAATAAGCAAATTTGTGACGTTAACCATATGAATGCCTTTGTTCAAAACGTAAGATTTTCAAGTTATCTCACAAATTCTTATGCTGATAATTTAATTTGTAATGGGGGAAAATGCAAAAGAAAAGCATTTTCACAAGTCTTTTAGACTTTTGGACCCGACTGTACATATTTTCTCATAAACTTGGGAGGGATACTAATTATTTTTATTACATTCAAGGTATATATACAATAGTGGCCAAAAGTGATGTCTGGCCTAGGAAAAATTACATATTCACCCTTTATTCAAATATTATAAAAAATGTATTAAAGATTTTGTAAGCATATTGTTTAGTTGTGCTTGGAGTCAACTGTTTTTTGTGTGTGTGATAAAGCAACGAAGCATGCCAAATTTTGCAGACAAGGCTGTCATACAAAGAAATTATGAACACCTGCCAACACTAGAGAGAACCAATTAATTATTAATAACTTCTGTTGTTGTCAATTTATGCTTTTTCCTTTGAGCTTTTTGTTTTTCTATGCATTTTTTGCAAAGGAAAATAAAACCTGTAGCTTTGCCATTTTCGCAAAATAATTTTGTCAGATAAATACCTTGACCAAGTGTTTTGTTCTTCCCTCATATGTAAAATATTTTCCTCATATTTTGATGGTTTAATCAAACTTGTAGGGTCATTAAAAACAAATATCCCCTCCGGACATCACCTTTGGCCACTACTGTATGAATATTAGTCCTTGCATTCATATAAATATTTATTATACATTTAAATATGTTTCAAACGTATATACCTTGAATGCAGTGCAAGTCGCTTTGGATAAAAGAATCTGTCTAAATGTACTATCTTGTAAGGTGTAATGTTTTTTTTTTCCTCCTGTTTATTAGTATATTAGATTCCTTTAGTACACATGCACACACATGTACCTGACTCTTGGCTGCAGAGACTTTTGCAAACAATGCCTGTGACACTTTGGCTCGTCTCATTTCCTGCTGTATTTCATCATAGATGCCGTAGTTGATTCCAGAATCATCGCATTCCACTTTCACTACAATCTCCTTGGAAACAGGTGAAAGTTTTGCCTGTAATGAGAGATTTGTTTTATAGACATTAACAAATGGCACTTATTATTATTATTATTATTAATAATTTATCTGCTTTAGATTTATCTGCACTGTCTATTGAGATTATAGCACATGCTAATTTACATCTCTGGTCCATAATTCAATTTAAATGACAGTGAACCTGAATGGGCAGAGGTGAGCTGGTGTTGTAGGTGCTGTTGAGGTTGCGCTCTCTTTCCTCCAGATAGATGGAGTCCCTCTGGCTCTGTGGCAGTTGCAGGAAGGCCTGCATGGCTCTAAGGTTAACTAAAAGAGACTGAGACGCGCACCGTGGGTCTTCTTCCTTGCGCAAGATCTCCGACAGCAGGCCCTATTCCAAAATACAATTTACATTTAATTATTTAGCAGATGCTTTTATCCAAAACGACTCATAAATGAGGAGAACAAAAACAATCAAACCAATAATAGGGCAACAATATTCAAGTGCTGTGACAAGTCCCAGTTAGTCTAACACAGTACACGTGGCAAGGTTGTTGTTGTTGTTTTTTACAGGGACATACACTTTAATATGTGCACAGTTATATAA